TGTTCTAAAACAAGATTAGAACTTGCAGAAGAGAACATCAATGGCAAAATACTAGCCTTTTTATGCCCAGATATTGCTTCAATCCTCCACTAATGTGCATTATGTGAATTTTACTTTCCCCCAATGGATAATGCTTTTTGAATTGAGTATAAGCACATAGGATAAGGTTTTGTGGTGTATAATTATTTTTTATTTTTGTTGTTGCAGATGATAGTATCTTTGAGGGTGAACTATTAGGACCACTTTTCTGAACTGGAGTTCTAGGGAGAGTATTGTGAAATGAAAGGATCGAAAATTAGTTATATTAACCGAGTACATGGATTGCAATTTTGGACAATTCAGAAATACTTGCAAGAGTAAATAAGATATTTACACGAAATACCATCGTGGACATTTTGACTGTTAAGCTTGATTATTATTCAAAGGGAAATATGATGTAACACAAAAGATAAGGTTGGTCGGGTTAAGTGGATGGTGCTTCTGGAATTTTGGGTAATTGACTGACTAAAAGGGGAATTCAATTAGTCTGCTACAACAGCTGTAATGTTATATGGGATCTAATTTTAGTTTATCAAGAAACAATAATACATAAGTAGGTTTAACTGGTTTATGATTATTGACATTCGTTGGGTGTAAAACGAGGAGAGATAAGAGTGATAAGTACATTGGAGAGTTGGCTAAATTTATAGTAGGCTAATTGATGATAAATTGTTTGGGAGTACAAGTAAGTGCTAAGATATTTCTTTACTGCTTTCTCAAAAGATTTTCTATATATAGTCGTATCAGTGTGAGCTTGTGCTTTGGTGTAATCAAGTATTGAATCGTTTAACCTCTAAACATATCTTTTAATTCGTGCGGTGAACCATGAATTTATATCCTAAAAGAGGTATTTTGATGATTTGGAAAGGGAGGTTGTTGGTAGTTCAACCTATTTCAATCTCTAAGTCTTACAAAGTCATAATTCAGAGATAAGATTTTAGGCAAATTTTGTTTACTTTATTGGGGTTTCTTATAAAGAATCTCTGGGAAGTTCATGGCCTTGTTGGTGTAAACTCTGCCATTTTCAGTTTTATGTGATTGTATTTGCTTAAAGATCATCTAAATTTGTCATAATGCTCGTTTTTATCATTGGCAGTCAGTGCCAGTGGATTGTGAAGTCTTCCAAGGTAGATCAACAATTACCATTGAGCACTTAACTGGTGAAGTCAAACCCATAGAAAAGAAAGTTGGGGACAGCATTCCTGGGGGCGCTCGGAACATTGATGGTGTGATGATTGTTAAGGTATGCACGTCATTCACTCGTTTGTTTTGAAACTGTCTTGCGAACAATCTTAAAATTTGTTTAAGTTAAAAAATATTGTGGATGTACCAAATAAGATTTATGAAGGTATTTGCACTATTAATTTTTTTAGTTTCACTATATTGACATAGAATTTCTGAAAGTTAAAATGGCTAGAACGTTAAAATAAGTGTTTTCTTTCCCTGTAATATTCTCATGAAGTTTGTCTGACAAACCTTCTCTTTTAATTTTTTTATCAATGCGAACTTTTGACTTAGAAACTAGGTGAATGTGGTTACTCTTTACGTGTTTCGAAATGAGCTGAAACATTCCTCACTTGCTTCCTTTATTGTGATGGATAAATTGTTTTTTGACGTAAAAAGTGTCATGTACCGCATGTAATGTAAAAGAAATTGATTATTATACTAGGAAAGCAGCTACTGCTGAAGGTTTATAGCAGTAGTATTGTTTAATAGTAACTTCTGGAATTGGATCTCTGACAGAGTGATGTAGAACTGTCTCCTTTTCTTGATTATTAACATGAGTTCTACTATGGTGTTTTTTTTAATTTTTGGGGCAATTTCACATCTTTTATTGTTAACCATTTCACACGTGGTTTTATTATGTAAAATTGCTCACCTTCTGTTGCCTGTCTTCACTTTGCTGTTGTCTAATACCAGTTGTCCCTTGATATTCATGCCAATTGGATTGTTAAGCACAGTTCATGTTAGTTTTATTGTTTAAAAACGGAAATTTCCCTTCCAACCACTGGATTTTCGTTTTCCTGTTTATGCTGGGAGATTTTTTGTTAAATTTGTATTCCTTGTTCTTATTTTAGTTCTTCACAGCCCTCTTCCATTGATCAACCCTGGATAGAACACATTGGCAGTTGTGGTTTTTCTTATTGCCCGGGAAATGTGCTTTTTCAGTTTACATAAATTGTTATCAAGTTGTTAAATTCAATTTAGGCAACGAAGACATGGAAAGAATCAATGCTGAGCAGAATTGTGCAGTTGACTGAAGAAGCTCAATTGAGTAAACCAAGGCTTCAAAGATGGCTTGACAAGTTTGGCGACCATTATAGTAAAGCAGTTGTAGTACTATCCTTTGCAGTTGCATTAATGGGGCCATTGCTATTCAAATGGCCATTTTTCAGTACATCAGGTATATTATGGATATATTTTCTCAATCAATCATTTATCTGCACACCATATACCCTATGACTTGCGTTGGTGTCTCCAAACTCCTCCACCTTCTCCAAATGGTTGTTGCTCTGTTATCTTATATTTCAATTTATAAGGACTGTTACATGTCATACTTGCTATTTCGATCGATTGCCTGAGGTGGTTGCTTGGTCTGTTATATGTTGTTTAGAGAGAGGAATAGGAGTCTCTTTACAGGGTTTGAGAACTTGGCCTGGGGGTTCAGAAGTTTGATGATTCTCTTTTTATCATTTTTTATTTTTTAGTGCACTCAATCTATCTGTGTATGATAGGTACATGAATCAATGCTGTTACCAGGTTAGACACCCTTAAATAGTTTTGTACACCTTGTATATTTGGTTTCCTGTGATTTGATTTTTATAAAGTCACGTGATTTTTATATAAACACGTGATTTATATAAACAAAGGGAAGCACATATATAATAATTTATGTTTTGACACAGAGTGATGCATTTCGCCCAGTTTAAGCTGCATGTGTCTTCTACACAAGTCTCTAGTCCTTGTGATTCAGGATAGAATGACACAATTAGTGGAGAAAGAAAATAGGTCGGAGAAGAAGAGATAATAGGAAGAACGATAGAAGAATCAATAGAAGAAATAGAAGAAAGTAGGAAGAGAGAATTCTTCACAAGCCACCAAAAGTTTTATTTAATCATCAACTAATGAAATTACATGGCAAAGTAAGTTTAAATAGTAAAAATCAAAACCCTAACTAGAATGGGCCAATATAAGCCCAAAAAGAATCCACAACAAAATAAAGTCTACAAAAATGAAATAAGGCCGAACTAGAAATAAATAAAAAGACTGGATGTCCTCATCAACTCTCTCGGGGTGGGCTGACTTTGATACCAAATTTGATGCAGGACGAATTAAAGAATAGAAAGAAGAAGTAAGAAGGGAGGGAGAAACCAGCGAGAAGGGAGGGGGGGGAACCGAAGAAGAGGGAGAAATCAGGGAGGAGGTAGAAGGCATAGGCAACAAACCACCAAAATATTCATCAACTAATGAAATTACATGGCAAATTAGGTTTAAACAGTAAAACAAAATCCAACCTAGAACGGGCTTGGGCCAATACAAGCCCAATTACATAAATAGAAATCTAAAACAAATAAAGTCCAACTATAAATAAATAAAATAGATAATGTGCTCATCAACTCTCCTGGGGTGGAAGAATGATAGACTTCGGTGACTATGTTTCGGCCAACTCCGACAACAAAGGGGGCGCCGACTGTCAAGAAGCTATCGGACACTGAGATACAGCGGAAGAGAGAAAAGGGCATGCGTTACAAGTGTGATGAAAAATATGGGCTGGGGCATAGATGTCGAAACAAGGAACTCCAAGTCCTTGTGGTGCAAGAGGAGGAGGACGAAGACAAGCCGGAAGAAATTAATGATAGACATCCCATTAAATTGCAGCCCAAGCCATCAACAATTCTAGAGTATTCCATAGGTTGTTAGCAAAAGGGATAAAAGGGTAACAGATAGCTAGCAAATTGTCTATAAATGTAAGGGAGAGTTGGGATATTCATTCATTCACGTGTATGTTGAGTCTAGTGGGAGAGTCCCGAGCCTCTTGAATGCTCTGGGTTGTTTGGAGTCCTTTCTTACGTTCATTTCAATAAAATTACTCATTTCCATTTCAGTTTTCATTTCTTCATTAAACCAGTCAGCTTTAACAGTTAGGGTTCTAACAAATGGTATCAGAGCAACCATTCTGGCCCTGGGATATTACATCTGATGAAGAAAAGCAAGTTGAAGATAGAGTTGATAAGTTGGAGGAGAAAATTGATTGGCTTCAATTGAAAGTAAAGGAAGATCTGGAAACACTAAAATCTGACATTAAGAAGGTGATGTCTATCATGATAGAGAAGCTTGACTTGATGATGGAAAAAGTGGGACGAGCAAGGGCAGAAAAAGGTCAAGCAGGTACACTTCTTGAATCGGGTGAAATTGGGGCAATTACTAACAGCCATAAACCGCGAGAAGGACCAGGTAAGGAGGAGGCATGAAACTGTAGGCTGAAAATGCTAGTTTCGGAAGGAATTGTAGCTCCATTGCAGGCAATCTCAGATGTAGTGAAGGAAGGGGATAGGCAAGAGCATGAAGGGACGGGGAAAGGATCGACAGCTACCCAGCCTAAACCCACCTTCAATTCTGAAATCCTACCCAAACCTGATGAGACCGGAACTACTACAGGCAGTCGGAATTGCAAAGAGTACAGGAAGCTGTGCGAGATCATCGACGCTCTTTTGCCAACAAAGAAATTGGATGCTAATCTCGTTTACGGGCTGAAATCATGGGATAGGGTTGAGGTCAAGAGTTTGCCTGTATGTGTGGGCCAAAATATGGAATTAGTACAAGGGGTTGAAGACAAGAATGAAAGGAAGCAGGCCCAAATAAAATAAGACATAATTCTAACCACTTAAATCCAGCTTTTAGCCCACTTATGCACTCATATCAAGCCCCTTTTTCATACTCAATTCACCCACGTAATCCACCCAACACACCAAACCAACCCAAAATCAGCAGCAACAATAGTCCGACGACCGACAAACGCAAAGGGTGCTCGTCCATTTAAGAGACCCATCGACGCCGAGCTTCATCTGAAGAGGGGAGCTAGCTGGTGTTATTGCTGTGATGTAACATACAACCCGGGTCATAGGTGTCGAAATAAAGAGTTCAGAATTTTGTTGGTACAAGAGGAAGAAGGTGATGTTCCATGGAATGTTCAAGAAGGAGATGAAGAGGACGAAGTAGGTGAATTAGGGAAGATATCACTCAATTTTGTGGGAGGACTAACCACATCAAAAACCATGAAAATTAGGGGTTCGATTTTGGGGCAATTAGTAATAGTCTTGATTGATTATGAAGCTATACTATACCTAACTTCATTTCAGCAAAGTTGGGTGGTCAATTGAAGCTGCAAACCATAGAAATTACTAGCTACGAGCTTTACGCGTCTCGAGCAGATTCACTAGCTGCAGCCATTTGCTCTACTATTGCAGCAGAGAAGAATCCTTTCCAGCAGCTATGCATGCCAGCATCAGATCAGCAGCCACATCCAAATCTATTAAAACTTCACCAGCAAACCAGGTTCCTAGCTTCTTCTTTGACGGAAGTGTATGAACAAGGACTATTGCTGGAGGAGGAGAAGACCACGGAGAAGAAAGGGGAAGAGAATAGGCTGGAATTGATGGTTGAATTTTAGATAAAAAAAAATCTATGGGCATGGTTTTGGAATTGGCCCAACTGGGGAAAGGCAACAGTGTAGTAGTGAAACAAGCCCAACTAAATTTCAGCCCAAATGAAAGAAAACTTAATAGGCTCAACCTACCAGCAAGTTACAGCCTACAATTTTCCTATTATCAGACATCGTTGAATAGTCCCTTGCTTCTCACGGTAAATTCCAAATATACTGTACCTCGTCAAGCAATGATGGCGAGGAAAATTGCACCTGAATCCCAGGAAACTACTGAGAGTGCTTATATTGTTGTTTTGGCATTGGGGATTGCAAATCAGTGGACGAACATACTTAGGGATGTTGGAGAAGATGCAAGAAGATGAGGGATCTACCTGCTGCATGATGAAATCTCCGTGGATGACTACAATAATTTCACAAGGGAGGCATGTGTAAACAAACTGAAGAAAATGCTTGCTTAGCACCTCAGCCAATTGCATAAGCAAAGTCTCTATTGCGACATTTCGTGGGTAGGGGTAACTGGATATGGAATTGCCCTGGACACTATATTGGTGATAGTTTCTCAACTAAGTAGGTCTGTCCACTTCGAAAGGTTGAAACACCCATTCTCCGTAGTGACCATGACTGGAGTCCTTGCAAGGAAAATAGGGAGGTTGCATGATGAATTGACCAAGATAGTAACAATTTCCACCTCGAGGACAAGGTGGATTTTGAGGCGCCGGGTAATGATAGACATCCAATCAAATTGCAGCCCTAGCCATCAACAATTCTAGAGTATTCCATAGGTTGTGAGCAAAAGGGGTAAAAGGGTAATAGATAGCTAGCAAATTGTCTATAAATGTAAGGGAGAGTTGGGATATTCATTCATTCACGTGTATGTTGAGTCTAGTGGGAGAGTCTCGAGCCTCTCGAATGCTCTGGGTTGTTTGGAGTCCTTTCTTACGTTCATGTCAATAAAATTACTCATTACCATTTCAGTTTTCATCTCTCCATTAAACCAGTCAGCTTTAACAGTTGGGGTTCCAACAGAGAAAAAACTCGACCATGTCAAGTTGATAGATCACTATAGGCTACAGTCATTCTGATACTCCAAATGCTTCAAGTCATGCCACGGAGGACGATCTTTCTGACGAACCAAGTATCGAAACTCCAAAAGCAGTTTGATCCATATTAGTGGGCACCTCTCTCTTGGAATCCATGTACAGTTCAAATCAGGTGGAACGACCCAACAAACAATGAAGTACTGAGTCTTATCATCATTGGTCAATACAACACGTTCATCTAAAATAATATCAATTTTATCTTTGTGTGCTGTGACATATGGTATTGAAGTAGAAATATCAACAGCCAAGTTAGGGTTCCACGAAGCTAAGTAGAAAAGGATCATTAAAGGAATTAAAACGGTGTTTGCAAGTAATGAAGTCCTCAATATTTAAAGTAAAGTGGTAGTCAAAATGTGATGAGAGATCACTGACGTATGCATTTGGACCAACATGCTTTAAAATTTCATAAGGACTAGCATTAAAGACTTGCAATATAACATATTCCTTAATATTAAATTTAAAATTTCGCTTATGCAAATCAGCTTGAAGTTTATATAATACATTAATTGCTTCAAGTTGTTTATTGATCTCAATATGTAAGTCATGAAAATGATGTACAAAAGCCTTAGTTGACATAGACACACTAGCCTCAGGGGACAATGGAATAAGGTCTAAAGGTTTCCTAGACTTATAATCATAAATAACTTCGACGGAATTCATATCTATAAACCGATTACGCAAATCATCGGGGCCATTGGGTTCGATAAGAGTACGATATACAACATTTGACTGAGAGGTATCGAGAGCAAGGGGTACAACCCCTATATTAATAGGAAAAGCCTGGATATTACATAAGTGTCCTCAGTATCATTCAAATCATCACATTCTTCAAGTTTAGGGTTATTGACTTGATCTTCTAATCGCTCATCTCTTATATTCTTCTCCTCTTCAATGACTAAGGCTCGGCTAGCGCATTCAGAAGAAACGTGATCAAAGTCCTTACAGTTGAAGTACTGCAAACGAGGAGTCATTGGAGTTTCAAAATCTTGATCCTTGTTTTCAAACAGAGGAGCATTAGATAGGGGAGGTCCTAGATGGGACTTAACAGAAGGAGGTGGCGTCGATATGGGAGGAACATTAGATGGGGGAAGGCTCTATGATAAACTTATGACGAGGTGGTACTGATGAGATGGGTGAACGATGGTGAGTACGCTTTTCATATGGAGTACTAATAAGTAACTCGTAGTCCTGAGCTAAAGATTAAGCGTAATCAAGAGTAGTGACACCTCGAAAGAAAAGCTCACGCCTAAGTTCATTTCTTAGACCTTGTATAAACCTATTCAAAGTTAGAGCCTCATCCTCAATGACATGACATTTCGTTCAAAATTCCTCAAATTGAACAATGTACTCAATTACTAGTTGATCCTCTTGTCTAAGGGTATTCCATTGGATAAAAATTTTAGGATCTAATTAATCATCGAAAGTAGGAGTATCTAATTTAATGTCTCTAACGAAATGCTTCTTATGACAAGGAAGAGAATGAGTATCGTGACAATTATAGCCTCGTTCTCGCTCAGGAATCTAATCCCTATTCCTACGATCGCGTCGAAAATATTTTTTATCACTTTGTCCACGATGATATTATCTATTATGAGAAGCTTCAGAATTAGTGTCAGTCAAACGAGTGGTTCGCTTAAAATGGCTCAACTTAGCAGCTAGTTTCTTTCTCTTCTCACAAGTAGCAGTTATATCGAATTGGACACTCGCTAATTAAGTTTGAAACTATTGTTGATTAGTGAGAAGTTGGGCTAATTATCGTGATAGTGTATCAAATTGGGAAGGATCCATGGTCGAAGTATTAGCACTAGGGATGACGATGACCCATCAACAGCTATGAATGCACTATATTAGCAGCTAGATGATGTGCAATAGAGAGATCAGTGACAATAAGTGCAAGCAATGGAAACTAACAACTTGAGCTCCTTTTTTATCTTAAAATTTGAGGATTAAGCAAATCCAAATATTGCAGACTAATACTGTTGATACATGTAAAATAGCAAGACAAGGGTCAAACACTAGTCAAAAGACCTAATCACTTGAAATAGGTTAAGGGTTTAAAAGCAAATGTACAAATGATGAATCAAAATATCACTTGGTATAAGTGGGGAACCAACAGGAGTTAAGTCATTCAATGATTCTGATAAAGTGTGGTTAAGGCTAATATTGTCAAGATAACAGCAACACAAGATTTTAATTGATGCAATTCTAAAAATGAAGTAGTAGTATAAACCAATACTAAATAGAGATCAAGGACTCCCTTGTTTGTCCGATTGCAGAGGCGGTTCCTAGGGAAGCTTGAAGTTGTCGGCAATGTACTCACGAGGCTGGAAGCGTCAAACTGTGTACCTTCACGTTGGCATGTTGTGAAATATTGTGGTGGAATACTCTTGAGCAATGTAGGTGGCAACCTTTATGGTGGCAGCGACTGGCAGCGGTATGAGTAGCAACTGGTGATTTGCTTAAACTCTGGTCAGTCTTCAAGATTTTCATCCACAAGAAATATAGTCGAGAATTTGAATGATGTGTTGCAGTAACTAGTGACAGGCAGTGTTGGCGGTGTAGATGGAAGTTATCGGTGGTAGTGACTCATGATTTTGTGGGTCGGCGGCAAGTTTGCCGACCGTTGGTGCTTGAACGTGTAATAGGCTAGGTGAGTTCGGCCTGGGATGTGAAGCGGTTGATGGCTTTGGTGGCTTGTGGCGAAGAGTCGTGGGGCTGTGTGATGTCGATGGAAGACAGAAACGCCGGGGATAGAAGCGTCGACAATGGCGGCAGTGCTGGGGGTGGTGTCGCTGGCGTGGGTGGCATTGAAGTGGGTGGGCGACGGTGTGCGACGCGGTTGGGGGTCGCCGGTGGGAAGCGAAGATGTCGATTTCTGGGATGTTGACTGGGGAAGATGTTTAGGTATTGGGCCAGGTGATTTGGAATAAACACTGAGCATTGATTATATGAGCCACTGTTAATTGGGTTTGAGTTGGACAACTTTGATGGAACAAGCTAATGGGACTTGGGCGGCTTGTGATATGGGGATGGTATTGGGCTTGCGTGGGTTATGGATTATTGGCTTGGTTATGGGTTAGTGTTGGGTTGAGATAATTTGTAGGTATTTGGGCTGGTAGTAGGGTAAAGAATAGCAAAATTGATTTTGGGTGAGCAGCAGAATGATTTCGTCAGCAATTTTATTTTATTTTTTTTTGAAATTGCAAAAAAAAACTAATTGATTTTTTGGGTGTGAACAGTACCGTGAACAGTAATATATATATATATATATATATATATATATATATATATATATATATAAAGAAAAAGAAAACTGGAAAAAAAAAATGAGATCTGCTGCTCTTACACTAAATTCTTTTTGCTCATGCTGTTCCGACAAATTTTGGGAAAATGATAGGAAGAAAGTTTTGGATTGTAGATGAAAAATTACTCAAGTTTCGATTCTGATACCAAATTTGATGCGGGATAGAATGACAATTAGTGGAGAGAGAAATTACATTGGAGAAGAAGAGATTATAGAAAGAATGATAGAAGAATCAATAGAAGAAATAGAAGAAAGTAGGAAGAGAGAATTCGCCACAAGCCATCAAAAGTTTTATTCAATCATCAACTAATGAAATTAAATGGCAAAAAGTAAGTTTAAATAGTAAAAACCAAAGCCCTAACTAGAATGGGTTTGGGCCAATATAAGCCCAATAAGAATCTACAACAAAATAAAGTCCACAAAAATGAAATAAGGTCCAACTAGAAATAAATAAAAAGACTGGATGTCCTCATCACGTTGTCTATGTTTGTTGTGCATGTATGCATATGTATATTTTGAGTGGATCTTTATGTTAATCTATATGCTTTATAATTTTGTTTATTCTTTTAGTTTGTAGAGGATCATTTTACAGGGCACTGGGGCTTATGGTTGCTGCCTCACCGTGTGCTTTGGCTGTAGCCCCACTGGCATATGCTACTGCAATTAGTGCCTGTGCAAGAAAGGTATTTATCAATCTTATTTAGTATGTAATATATAGATGTTAGTTTGATTGTTTGTTCTTGTTCAGTTGTACATGGCTTTGTACACAAGCTTCCAAAATGCACCAACATCACCTGGTTGACTTGCCTGAATGTCTTCTTGTGATTTCAAATCTAAAAAATATTTTCATAATATCAGTCAATGCCATACGATGGGCATCTGGATTTGGCCTCATCCAAGTCTTGTAGCAGCAAACTATACTTTTACTGCTTTCTATTGGAAATTTCAGAGGGAATGATGACCTGGCAGTATTTGGGAAAAAAATGAGAGAGACCAGAATATTATAATAATGAACTACATTTATCCGTTACATCCTTTACCATAAATAATTTTCATTTTTACAGGGAATCTTGCTTAAGGGTGGGCATGTTTTTGATGCTCTAGCATCATGTCACACTATTGCATTTGACAAAACTGGCACATTAACCACTGGAGAATTCACTTGCATAGCAATTGAACCAATACATGGACATGTTAGCAACAGTGAGAAACAAATTGCTTCATGTTGTGTGCCTAGCTGTGAGAAAGAAGCTCTTGCCGTGGCTGCTGCCCTGGAGAAGGGAACTACTCACCCCATTGGAAGGTGGTTTTATTTATCTGATTATCTCTCTCATAACATACTGTCAGTTGTTCTCAATTTTGTTTTGCTAATAATTGATATAATTGCGAGTCTGTATATGTAACTCGAAGCTGAAGAATTGTTTAGTTATTTTATGTAAACTGGACCTGTCTGTTTAAAGTTGAAAAGATTGATCGGTTTGAAAATTAGTATTTTCATAATCAAGAATACAGCGAATATTATCTTGAGCAGCAATGGAAGAATCAGATGCACTAGATTCAATTTTGATAATATTTCAGTGTCGTTTCACCTTCACCTTGATATTGCAAGTTGATGCCTCCAGACCTACCGCGTGACGCAACCACTACGTTCTTCTAATAAATCAATCAGACTGGGCACCAGTGCTAAAGTTTGCTTTAGAAGAATAAGAACTGGAAATGGACTGTGAAATGATAAATAGAGAAGGGGCTGCTTTTGTGTTCACTGTTTATGTTTACCGAAATTTTTTCTTTCATATCTCTGCCGGATTTTTGTTGCGTGTTTAGGAAATTTTCATGGATCAATTGAAATTCCATGCTCCAAATTACGTGTTTATGCTCCAGCATGCTGCCACTCTGACCGGCATTTATAATTAACATCTTTTTTGGGACAGAGCTGTTGTGGATCATAGCATGGGAAAAGATCTTCCTTCTGTTTCTGTTGAAAGTTTTGAAAATTTGCCTGGCAGGGGTCTTTTTGCAACAATTTCTCACATTGAGGTACTTAATTTTATATAATTACACCCTTGTTTTAAAACCACTAACTAGTATGTGATCCTGGCAGCCTCTTCACTTGGGGCCAATTAGTTTCATGTTGAAAATCTGGTGGATTCCCAACCGGTTGTAAAAGGAAATTAAAAGAGCTGTGATTGCATAAAAATATATAAATAAAAATACCGTAATTGTATTGATGTATAAAATGAAATGAATTGAATTGAATTACAGAAATGATGGCCATTCTACTTCTAGAGTCCTAATTCTCTCCTTCACTTATCGCTCAATCAAATGAATGAATGAATAACAGAATAACTCACACACATACACGCTCCTTTTGTTTCGGAGTTCAATTTATTCCAGAATATTTCCTAGAGTATCCCCCATTTAAAAAAAAAAATAAATAAAAATACACTAATAAGCTGGTAAAAATGCCCTATGCTTACATATGGGATGGCCTAACCTCTTCTTGCCATTCACTATTTGTGTAACCTTGTTTTGTCCAAATTTTTGCTTGTCAAGCTAATGAAAAAATCTTCATCTTTGGTTTCAATAAGATAAGAGAAGGTCAACTTTTCAAGGAAGACTTTAATCCCCTTATTATCAATATTGGAATCTCGCAGTGTGATTCTGTAAAGAGAGAATATCACGTCTACCTCGGTGTATCCATAAGAAAGCTTGATTTCTTATGTTACTAAAAAACTGTGTCCAGGCTTATTGAGTTCATTAATGCCTTAGAGATCCACTGTTCTCTAATAATTTCTTGTGGTGAGATTTATGGCAACAGGATTCCTTCTAATGAGACTGCTCTGCAATTTAAGTGTGTGCTGTTTGGAAAAGAAGTTGTAATTCTCTGTTAGTTGATTTTAATGCGTGACTGATACATTTAGTTTTTTTCATGTTGTCATTAAGTTCTCTCAGTATCATGATTATATTACTGTTATCATGGCCTATTCTGGTACGACTGATTGGATATATGACGTGTGCATTTTTGGGGATTGTTCTTGTGAATTCAGTAAGATAATGTAATCAAATGTCATTTAAAAAATTTGTTTCCCATTTAGCTAGCTTGGTTTTGTGTTGTATACAATATCTTTCCAAAATACACAGTTCTGTCCAATGTCCATCATATCTAGTATGTGGGCACTTCGCAGTTTCATTTCCTTAAATTTTGTGACCACTCTTATTAGCTTTGCCCAAGGTTTTGATGGGTAACACCATTTTAGATGTGCCTCTAGAAAGAAGTGGAGTGGATGGCGTAGTCATATGCCGTGCTTAACCCTTTCTTGATTATTTCATTTCTTCATTATTTTATAATTAAGTAATAACAGTTGAATTAAGTCTGCAATAATTTTTATTTCACTATAGCAAGGACTCGGAGATGGTAAGCCATTGAAAGCCTCACTTGGCTCTGTAGAGTATATCACATCACTTCTTCAGTCAGATGATGAATCAAAAAAGATTAAGGAGGCTGTTAGCACTTCTTCTTATGGAGAGGAGTTTGTTCGTGCTGCTCTCTCTGTCAATAACAAAAAGGTGAACTTTCATTTTGTTTTCTTACCTTTGAGTTAGGCCAGCCTTGATTTGGTGAAAAATCTTGTTGGGTTTGCTTCCGATAGATATGACAGTCATGTACCACTAAGGCTCCGTTTGATTGCAAAGATGGAATTGAATTGAAATAAAAACAAATTCCACGGAATTGAATTGCCTAGAAATTGTTTTTCTGGAATTGTAAATTATTGTGTTTGATTGGTATAATTTTCCACGTGGAAAATGTTGAAATAAAAGTGTTTTTTGATATTCGTTTGGTTTTGTTTTACATGAAAATTGTCAATTAAAGGGATAGATTTTATTGGTATTGGGAATGAAATTTGTTTCCATGGCCAAAAAAGAAAAAAAAAATCAAGAATATCATCTATTTTTTGGTGTTCGTTTGGCTATGTTTTACATGAAAATTGCCAATTCAAGTGAAATATTTTTTTTATAATAATTCTTAGAATTTGTTTCTATTGCCAAAAAAAAAAAAAAACAAAAAAAAAAAATGTGAACAGTAGGTGGGAATTGGTTTTCCTTAAAAACCAAGAAAATACCATTTCCCAAGACAAGCAAGAAAATGGAATTCCATGGAAATTAAAACATATCAAACATACAAAATTGGAAAAAGGTGGAATTCGAATTCCATTTTCCATTGAATTTGAACGAATCAAACAGCCCCTAAGATCTTTAGTGGTTAAATTATGGTCAACTTTTAATTCAAGTGTTTCTTCCTTGTTAAGTTTTATTTTGTTTAATATTGGACATCCTTTGATTTTGAACTTCTAAATTGCGATATATCATAAAAAATGTTACAGCTTTTAAATGTGATGATGCTGATTAAAATTGCACTGTTTGAAACAAGAAAATATATTTCTTCAGGTAAAGATGAAGATAAAAAATTGAAGTTAAAAGCAGAAAGGTATGACAACGTACTGAAATTAATAATTTTGGAACCACACATTGAGTGAACAAAAAATAGTAGATTGTTGACCTGGAATATAGCAAAAAATGTTGACTGCTAGATCTAAATGTTTTAAGTTGTTAGACTCTGCCGCATGTGTATTGTTTAAATCTTGTCTTAAACATCCCCTCTCACCTGTAGCTGGATTCATTTTTTCTGGTCAAAGCCCTAATATGTGTATAATTCATTAAATGGGTAGAGGTTGTACTTTAGCTGAAGACCTTTGCTTGTCTTGATATCATGTTGAATTACTTGATTTAAAAGCTTAAACTGTTATGATGGGCCACATATATATCATATAAATCTTGTTTTCATCAAAATGCGATGTGAGACACACAAACAAGACTGGGGAGATATGACCAAATAAGCAGAACGAGTTACGATTTTGCCTTCAGACCACGTTGATCGTGATTGCTACTGTATTTTTTAGCAAATAGTGCATTCTTATTGTTTTCATAAATATGTAATTTTCTTGAATTTCAAAGAAATTAAATCTGGTCTAAATTCCAGCGCTCGAATTTCCTACCTAAAACAAGGGATCCAATGAAGATAACAAAATATTTCAGTGATAATGACATTCTTCTCTATTAAATGCTTTTTCAGGCCTTTTGCATCCAACAGTCCCTTAATCTATTTTACTTTAGAATCTTGTGTGATAGGAAAAAAAGAAGTTCGTGAGCTTTATCATTATGTTTGAAATGCAGGTAACTCTATTCCATTTTGAAGATAAGCCTCGACATGGTGCTTCAGATGTCATAAAGGCATTGCAAGATAATGGAAAGCTCCGTGTCATGATGTTAACTGGTGACCATGAGTCAAGTGCATGGAGAGTGGCAAATGCTGTGGGCATCAAAGAAGTTCACTGCAGCCTGAAGCCTGAGGATAAACTCTATCACGTTACAAGTATTCCCAGAGATACAGGTGCGAATATCTATCATATTCAGTCCCTAGTAGAGTTGACCTCAAATTTTTCATGCTCATGCCACTGTATTATTAGTAGCAATACTTGTATTCAAGTTTTTGACCTCCAATCATGCCTAGCAAAATCTGTCAACTCCTTTTTCTGGTGGTGATGGTGTTATCATTTGTGATCGTAAATCTCTAATATTATTCAATTGATTTTCACTCTTATGATATGGAAGGAATGTTATAAGGGTATATCCCACATTGGGTAGAGATGATATTAATATACTGCATATGATGGCCCAATAAGCTAAAATGAGCATTCGAATGATATGATTGGTTTGATCAAAAGAGCCACCATCTTACACAGACACATTAAGGGTATATTCCACCTAAAATAAAGATGAAATCAATATACAATATATAAGAGTTTTGACTATTCTTCTTAATAAAGTTGATCTTTTTAAGATATAACCTATCATTCTTTTAGGTTCATCTACCCATCTTTCCTTTGTTGTGCTCATGGTTTAATTGAGGCCCTCTTAAGACGAGCATCAGAGTGAGGCTAGCAAAAAATGCTTCAAAGTGCTCATTTTTAGGCAGTTTTTGTAGGCCTCTGCTTCAGTTTTGCTTCAAAAACCTTGATGCTTCGCAGCACTCCTTAATTCTTCAGACAGACTTACTTTACTTTATGTGTTGACCCATTTTGGGAAAAGACCATTGCCCTCTAAAACATACAAAATTTGTGTTTCTCATACTCCTGCTTTGAGAATAGTTCATTGTCTCACCAACTAAATTAATATAATATATATGTGTGTGTGTGTGTGTGTGTGTGTGTGTGTGTCACTTAATAAATATTTCTTTTGTATGTTAATTTTAATTGTTCCATTTTGGATATTGCTCATTGTTTAGATTTATTATAAGTTTATTTTTCATTTGAATAATTTTTTGACATTTTTGGGTTTACTGCGAGGCTTACGGCTCGCCTCATGAAGGAGAAACGCCTCAATATCCAATAATGCCTTTTTTAAATAACGTAATCTATCAGTGTGGCTGAGACTTTTCTTGAAATATATCATCGCTAAATATATTTTAATATAGATTTGCATAATTTGCACTTGTAAATGTACTTGAGAATTACATAGCTCCATTATAGTATCTTCTTTTAGCTGGACATTGGATATTGATTTCTTGTATACAGTTAACGATGCATATCTAAATGCTGATTGCAAGCAACACAAAAGAATAACTATAGAATTGATGAGGATCTTCTTCATTTATTGAATTTTTGAGCAGGGGGAGGCCTTATAATGGTAGGCGATGGTATCAATGATGCACCTGCCCTGGCAGCTGCCACTGTGGGTATTGTTCTAGCTGAACGTGCTAGTGCATCTGCTATAGCTGTTGCAGATGTGATGTTAGTGCAGGACAATATTTCAGGGATTCCATTTTGTGTTGCTAAATCTCGGCAAACGACTTCGTTGGTATTTCATTTTCATTTTCTTTGTTTTCGTGTGTGTGCGTGCTTTGTACTGTCCAATATTTGAAATATTAACGTTCCTTCACTTATAGGTTAAGCAAAATGTGGCTCTTGCATTATCTAGTATTTTTCTGGCATCTCTTACATCTGTTTTGGGTTTCCTCCCTCTCTGGTTAACGGTATGTTTCATCCAAGAACTTTATTTTGCATACTCGTGCTTTGGTTTTCATTACTTTATGCTGTTGCCTTTTTTTGTCTTTGCGTCAAAGAAAATGTATTACGAACTTTGTCAGCTAAACTCGCTGCGTAGGATATTTGTGATTGAAATGCTTTCCTTTGTTAAAGCTCATACTTTATTTTTTTGTCTTTACATTAACATCCAGGTTCTTTTACACGAAGGTGGTACTCTTCTTGTTTGCCTGAATTCAATCCGGGCTCTACATGACCCAACATGGTCCTGGAGGCACAATATTCAGACACTCGTTGAAAAATTAAAATCACTACTACTCTTCAAATACCGCGGCACCACTCAAGCTGCACCATTGTAGTTACGCACGCCATTTGCCGGTCATATTTTGTTGGTTTTCGTGTCCTTGCAACTGGTTGAATAGATGGATTGAATTCTCTTCAGGTATACCACAAAGCATTGACGTCCAATGTTAAAAGTTTGAGGTTGACTAGCAAATGTAGTTATTTCACTTGTAAATACCTTTATGAATTTGCTTTATTTTGTTGTTCGAAAATGACAATCCCATCGATATCAAAACGAATATATGCAGCAGCGTGCCTCTGTTATCATTATCATTACAATCTCTGTTTTCTTGTTGAAGCTTCCACTTTAGAAGTCAAATTTGAACACGGAATGGAATTGTATTTTTACCTTTGGTTCTTCTCAATGCTTTTGCAATTTCAGGTGGTTTTCTATTCATGTGGATTGGGATATTTACCATGACAATTTTCAGTATATTATACAAAGAAAATGCAGTGAATTTTTTTTT